GGGATCGAAGAATTGAAAGAGTACACTCATCGTCTCTTCATCAAAGTTTGAAGTAACCAGGTTGAGAAGTTGACCATGTCTCTTAGTGAACGCTGAAGTTTCAGAAACCCTTGATACTAGCTCTTTGAGTTAGGAAGGTATCTTCACAAAGTTGATTCAGATAGTGTTTCTATGAACGGAAGCCATGATCTGCAAAACAGAACAAAGATAAATTCCCTTGGTATCTGAAATGGTTAGTGCAATAAGAATGGATGCTATGTTATGATGCATGATGTCATGATAAACCACATGTATAGCAAACACAGTCAAATCACACCAAGTCCTTAGGTTTAAGGCCTGCATGAGGTTAAAGGTAACACCCTCTTGAAGTTTAGTTGGTTTCAAACCTGTCTTAGAAATTAACCGGGTTCTAAGGGATCTCAATATCACTGACCATCCTTTATCAGACATTGTCTCAGCTCAAGCAATCTTTTCTTGCGGCCGAAATATCCCGAAAGTCTGATCTCAATGAGTGTAACATCGAGTATTAACCAATCCTCAGCTCTACACCGAGGCCGGTTATCTCACTACTTTCTAATGGCCAAGTTTGTTCAACTAAGGTTCTAAGGTCGGTTAGTGCTTCATGACACCACGAGGAGGCCCCATATTCTCATCGTTTCCCCACGAAGGATACCGATACCAACCAAAGTGCCACACCAACACAACCATCACTTAAACCATATCGGTCTATGCCGTACAATCTCCACGATCTATTGTTGTTTACCTAATGAGTGCCCCCAGATCTGGGTGTAGGATCTATAGTAACCCAAGCAATAACCCTTTAAGAATAAAGCAAACAAACAAGAAAACAATTTGAAATGACCTAGATCCTAAGGTAAACCCCACTTTATTTTTCCGTCCCCAGCAGAGTCACCAGTTCTGTGATACGGTGGCAGAACCGACTATTTTTACTGGTTTGCATTTTGCGTTTTTTGTTCATAAAATGTCGCGGTAAGCAAGAGTCGCCACTGACTTTTATTTCATCCAATCATGGAAAAGGAAAAAGAACAGAATAAACCTTTTTTCGAGATGTTTCTGAGTACGGGGGGTAGATTATAGAAAGGGAAGGTGTTAGCACCCTTTCTATTCATGGTTTTCCATGGGCTCTTAGGTACTTGCTCATCCTTTTAAAATTGCTTGTGTGTGTGCTTGTTTTGAAAAAGTTTTACTTCGTGAGAACCCTTGTATCAGTCCTCAAAGGTGTGACGGAGTTTGTTTTGAAAATTGTTTTGAAAGGTGTTTGTGTGAAAAGTTTTGCTGAGCAAGTACTTAAGATTCTACCTACTCGAAAAAAGATGGTTCGTTCTCGCTTCCTTTAGACAGCGCTATCCTACTATTAAGGAGTAGGTAGCCCCGTCGTTGGAGTTTGTAAGAGACATTCGAAAGGGACAAGTACAGTCACTAAAGCAACAAGTTGGAAACTTTAGTAGTAACCCTAAAGTCCTAAATATCTTTCTGAGGCAACATTTCTGAGGCAACATTCGAATGGGACATTTGATCTTTTAGACAAAAAGGGCAACCACTAAAATCTCCTATGCTTAATGACTGCTTACCGAAGGCAACCGACGTGAGGCAAACCCTAGGAGTGAATATGTGCATGTGAATTTTTCAGTTATTTAGTCTTTGCACATTTTGGTGATCTACCGTTTTAATTTCAAGTAATCTTCCCATATAATCCTATTAGCCATGCATCTAGACAGTTAAAGATTGCGGAAATTTAAAGTGCGAGAAAATAAACCTAGCTAAAGTATGAAGAAGTTATGCTTGGTCAAAGTTTTTGGGCTGAATATTAATTGTAGGGAATTGCATCCTCTTCAAAATGAGCCTTGGATGGGAAATTTCTGATAAAGTATGAAGAAGTTATGCTTGGTCAAAGTTTGGTTGACTTTTCCTGAGAAACCCTAATTTAGCAACTTTTGGGTTTTGATGAATTTAGGGCATTCCTTGAAGAATAATGATCATCCCCTAATCAAATGATGGATATCACTTCAAAATGTTGATGTTGACCCAAAATCTTGAAGTTTGACTGTATGTGGGCCATAGTTGACTTTTGACCTAATACAGTTGATTCTCAAGCATCTGAGTAGTTGACTGAGCAAACTTCTTGTGCAGTGCTTGAAATTTGACATGGAGGGTATTGAGAACATATTAGGATTATGGAGAGCATATGAGGTCTTTGGAGTTCACCTATCTTGATGAAAATGGAAACCCTAATTTGAGACAAACTGCCTTAGGAGAGAGTTTGTCTGGTCAACTCTTGGGAAAACTTGAGAAAACTGAGGATCTCTAGGAATATGTATTAAGAAAAATGAGATGGAAAATTTTGGGGTACAACAGTTGGCATAAGCCTACAATTTAGTATGTCACAATAATAATAACATGTCAACAATAGTAATCCAACAACAACATCAATAGGAAAACAACATTGGCCATAAGCCAACCACTTTAGCTTGCCAATAAATAGCAGAATTTCAACATCAACATATCATCAATAATAATCCCACAACTACTCAACCACAACAACAACAGGTCAACAACCATTCTACATTGACCATAGGCTTACAATATAATATTGCCCATAATTATTCAGACAATTCTCGACTATACCGGTTAATTACTTATCTAAATGCTTATTTCTAATTACAAAACTTCTACAAATTGTTATACTATAATACTACATCATCATTATCATTGATATTATTATTATGAACCAAGCATTATCATAAGATTGTCATGTCATCATCATACTTCATCACCACAAAACATCATGGCGATTCAACGTAGGAAACTAAATCTATCCTAACTTTGATACTATAATTATCCTTATTATCCCTCATTTTACTCCTTATAAATGTAGTTCATCACGTTAGCTTTCCAACGCTTCGAACGGTGCATCAAACAGAGTTACGATTCAAAAGTTATGGCCGTTACAAAATCTGCCAAAAAATTTGTTGTATGAGTCGATGCAAAGACTGAGTCGACGCAAAAATGACTATGAGTCGATGCAAAACTGCGTGATAATACTTCCTTTCATGGCGGGTTGTATCGCACCAACCCTCCCTTCAGCTTGAGTCGACTCAAACTCAAAAAACATGATTTTTTTCTGCATTTTACTGTGATTTTCTGCAATTTTCTGCGATTTCACTATATTAAGGGTCTTATAACATCACCAAATCATAGGTAATCATCTTTGACTATCATCCTATGTTTCTACATCAATTATACATCATTTGGGTGTCATTGTTCATCTCTAATCCATTGATTCATCATCAAACAACAATATAAAGAATTTCCAACACAAACAAAAACAATTCTACAAACCCAATCTCACATACCACTCATCACATACCCTATTATAGAGTCAGAACCCCACCCTTACCTTGGATTGAAGGTTGCTCTACAATTTTTCGATCGGATCCCACTTTTCCTCTTTTCCTCTTCTCTATAACTTCTACGTTCTTTTCTTTCTTCCAACCCTTATTCCTCTTCTACTTGACAAAACCTATTTTCCTTACCGTCACTTCTAATTTCTATTATTATAACCAAACTTAATAATAATAGTATTGCTATTGGGCCTAATTCTCACACCTCCTTAATATTACATACCACCATATAAATAATCCCGACAACTTAACCTTATATTATTCCATTAATTTCAACATTATTGTTATTATTATTATTAATAAACTAATTAATTAATTAATAATAATCTAACAACTTATACCAACAATTCTCAACATCTCACAACTTCAACCAATAATCCAAAAATAATTTAATTAAATAATTAATTAAATTAACGGGCGTTACAGTTCTCATAGTCAAATACAATACCTTGGACTAGCGCGTCGTGAGGACCATCCCTCAGAGCATAACCGAACTATCGTAGAGCCAAGAAAGGATTATAAGTGATACCTCCCCTAATGCTAAGGAGCGGGATATTAGGGAATTTCCCATAGTGATCAATAATGGTAACCTCCTCCAAAGATCGAGAACACCAATGAATATTCTAATGCGAGAGTGACATCAACCTTTGAGACCACCTCATGCCTTGTTCATTCTTCAAAACTGATCGAGGAAGGTGTGAAATAAACCACCTAGACAACAATGGAGTGCAACACATAAGAATCCTTCTTCTCTTCATGGTACGGGCGTGAAGAGAGTGAAAAATGTCTCCGAGCAGGGTAGGCACCGGGTTACGAGATATGAAGGTTTTAAGTGCATTCATGTCTATAAGTTGGTCTGGGTTAGGAAACAGTACCGTCCCATAGATTAAAAGAACCAAAACTTCTTCAAAAGCTTTCAAATCCAGAGCATCCTAAAACAATTGAGCCTTCTCAAACAGAAACTTGGATAGAAAACCCTTAACACCACTTCTTGTTTCCCAATTAGCCACGATGACGGGTCGTTGCAAATGTAAGGGTAGAGCAATCTCTTCAGGTCTTGGTGTAATACCCAAAATTTGTCCTACCCTTTCACTTTTATCTGGCTTATGCATTATTACGATTTTTTCATATACATAACTCCATTAGGTCATCTAACACATCATTCATTCATTAATCAATAAAATGTGGCATAAGATCAGAGATCTTAGAGAATTAGGGTTTTACAATGGATAGGGCGTTCGTATCTAATAAAGGATGATTTCTTCTTCGAGCATTAAATAGAGGCATTGAGGTTGTGATTTATGGTTATTGAGATTTCTTAAGATACAAAGCTATTATTTTCGTATCAACAACAGGTTACAGGGTTACCCTATTTAGAGTTATGAATCTAGGGTTTATATCCTATTATATGCAGGTTTGCCAACATTTTACTAGGTGTTTGATGGATAGAAAAAACAGGATAAAAGAAGGGTGTTGTGAATTCGTTGTGATCAAGGGCATTATTGTTCTTAATTGTTTGAGTGCTTGTATTGCAAGTCAGCTAGGGCATGAGAATTGAAATTAAGGTTTCTTCAAGATATGTTGCTTTGTGAGGTCATCGGTTACCAGGGCAAAGGTTCAGGAGTTGAATTGCAAACATTGGATCATGACTCAGAGGATAATTTTGCGGGTTCAGTATTACACTTGTAGCTAATGGAGCAAGCGGATGCCAATTGAGTGGTTTTGTTAATGGAGGAGTGGTTTAGAAATGCTCATCCGAGTTCATTATAGTGCGTTACAAGTTCCTATTATAATTCCATAAAAAATATTAAATAATAATAGTCCAGAACCATTTTGATCCACCATTAAAAAGAAAACAAACATATTTTCATTACGAAAGCAGTCCAAGTACACCATTGTTACCACAATCTATTCATATAAAGTGCATTCAAACAAAATTCTTAAATTCTAAACTTAAGCTCTATCTTTGTTCTCCAACTGTCCTTCATGCTTCTTTGTCAAAAATCAGTCCAAACTCCATGCTCTTAATAGCCATTATATCAACATAGGCCATGCTTAGACTTGTTGCATTAATCTTGCCCTTATGCTTGCCAGACCATCATTTAACCTGCATTCCATTTATAATCAACATGTGTATATGCATCATAACCAAATTCAATAAAACTATATCCATAATAGATGTTTACAAAGGAAATACGACAAACTCCTCGTAATCAAAGATTCTAAAAGAATTTGGTAACCACAGTGATCAATAAGATTCAGAGAAAGGGGAAGAGACTGCTTGGTCTGAATCTCAATGGATTTCTCATCTGCAATTCATATTCTTGATCATTTCAGCCTGGTTTTCTGCAAAGAAGAAGAATGTGCAGGGGGCTTTAACTTGTGATGGAAGTATATATAAGCTGCTAGTTACTTGAGACCAATCCCCACATTAACAATGCTGGGTACGAATCTATGATGACTACTTGTAAAAGGAAATAATAGTTAACAACTTCCTATGACTGAAGCCTAACAGAATTCCAGTTTCCCTAAAAGTTTTCAAACTTCTAACACAACAACTAACAACTCACTCAATAACAGGAAAAAACAAAAACTCCTCTAACTGAATCAAAACTATCCATAACAGAAAACCAACTTCCTGATAACCCCTAACTAACCAACAGAAAACCACCCTGCATAATAGAAACCTCATAGCAGATTTACCATCCCAAACAGCCTAACAGAATTCTAACTCCCTCTCCTAACTGAAACATAATCTTCTAATTCCTCAACAACCTCTAACAGAATTCCAACTACCAAATCCCAGAGGTATAACAGAATTTACCATAGAAGGAGATGGGAGGGACACGATTAAAAAAAACCCAGAGAAGTCATAGAGAATAAGGGGAGAAACCTCACTTTCAAGTTCTCTCTGAAACAATATAATTATCAGCTTCATTACCCTCATTCAATCAAGGTCACTCCACTCAGAAATTTTCATCACCTTGCTTCACTGTTTTCAACACTATCAACCTTTCTTTATCACTCTCTTCAAGATTCTTCAATCAGCATCAACGTTTCCAACTTCAACCCTCTTCATCTTTAAGAATTCTTCTACTCGCAATAAATCTTCAACGTTTCATCATCATCACATCATCGCCGCATCTTTGAATCTGTTTCAATCTTCATCTATTTGTTATGCAGTTAACACTGTAACAGCTTCTTCCTCACGCCCCAACATCAACATCATCTTCAATCCTTCAACAACTTCACAGTTTTTCAAATTGCAAAGAACACATCAACACAGAACCTGCGGTGTAATGCTCAGAAGAAGAACAAAGAGAGGAAACAAACCAGAAACGAGTCAAGAACGCACAAAATCGCAGAAATATCAGAAGAGGTCACTAACAACAGAAGAATAATACTCAGTGTTCTTACCAAAATACAAGCATCAGGATATCTTTCTCAAGGCTTCTTCGAAGTCAAGATCCATCAGATTTCTCTTTCAATCGCTAAACCCTTTCTCTTTACTGTTTACGTTTTCAGATTCACAGTTGTTTGCCTAAGGTGGAGGTGTAAGAGACAAGAGGAAGATGAAGAAAACTAAGCTTCGAAGATGAAGTAAACTGCGGTGGATGAGTGGATTCAATGGCGGTATTTGATTCGACCAGAGGTGATACGAAAGGAGAGACGACGAAAGAAAAAAGGAGCTCACGCCGAGGTTGAGTCGGAAGAGAAGTAGTCACCGTTATGTATTTTTAGAGAAGAGGGCATCGAGGAATATTCAAGGTCCCACCCCTTAACCTAGCCACTGCACCGTTCAAGAGAAAGGAGGGGATCACCGTCCAAAGAGAAAGAATAGAGATTTTTGTGTTTCACGAAGAAGCTGAAGAGCCACAAACAATTTAACCCTAGCTCTTCTCTGTAGTAATGTAATCGTATACTTCTGTGTATATTTTTTTTATTCTTTTAAATTCATATTTATAAATTAATAATATAATAATAAAATTTGGTTTATGATATTGTGTTGGGTTGGGCCGAAAAGCTTGAGCTCATGCTTTTTTTTGAAATAGCTTTAAGGCTTAGACAAAAAAGCTTTATGGATTCTATGATGGGCCTAGTGTCATTCAGGTATTTTTATTTCTGCAACATCTTAAATTAGGCTTGCACCCCCTGGAGCTTCATGTGCTTTTTTTAAATTTCAATATCATATTTTTAATTATCGTGATTGAATTTTTATGACATTAGAAAATAAAAGAGACTTGGTTTTGAAGCTAGCCAAGAGCATAATTGTCATCAAGTAAATTCGAGGAAGCTTTTAGTAGAGTTTTCATATTGCTTGCGTGGTTATAAAGAGGCAACAAACCTTCTCCGTTCGGTATCATCACAACTCTATTTTATTCCTCATTTCCGCACTTTATCGTTTTTCTAGGTACCATGAGAAGTAGGAAATAAAGAGCATGCGCTCAAAGTCGCTGTTTAAAGACCTGTAGCAGGCATTCCGCACTTCATTTGCTATATGTGTTGTGCTTGGGTTTGCTTCTTTGTTTGTTGATCGATGAGTCACTCAATTTAGAAATTAAGATCATGACTTCGCTCTCAGTGTATGCTCCCTATAGGATTTTATCGCTTTCCTTTATTTCTTGTTGATCGATGAGTCACTCAATTTAGAAATTGAGATCACGACTTCACTCTCATTGCATGTTCCCTATAGGATAGTTCTGTTAGACTTTCTTTGGCATGCTAACCTAGGTAGGATCTCTCTAGGTATGCTCTCTTGAGTTTATTAGCCTGTTTGCTTTATCCTTGTACATACCATGTTCCCTTAGGACGTGCTTGCTCCCTTCAGATGCAAGTTAGACTTTAGGTTATAATCCATGCATGCTAACATTAGGTAGACGTTTCCCTTTTGTTAACCTAAACCTTAGGAATACCATTGTATGATAACATTAGGTTTAGAAATAGGCTAGTCTCCCATAGACTATTTTCTTTCCCTTTTTGCATCCTTGCATCTAAAACCAAAACTTATTTTCTTAGAAAATAAAAAACATGCTAATCACACTTTAACCCTTTTTCAAGGTAATAAAACATAAACCAATTCAAACCATTTTGTGCACTCGAGAACCTTCTCTCTAAAAACCCTTTTTAGGTAAGGATATGATTAATTTACTTCTGTGTCAACGCATAAGTCTCCAAAGGTCGAGCTGCAGCAGAAGGCGGAATTAACGTCGTCCATAAAAAACACAAACAAGTAAAAACATGTGAGCCGAACTACGGTAGCTCTGATTCCTCAAAAAGGATACGTAGGCATTGGGGTAGAGCCCAAGCGAGTACAACTTTATTTTCCCTACATTCTTTTCCCCTTCTTTTGCATGCATTCTCTCTTCAGTAGTATAGTAAACAGTAAGCATAGATTAGACACACCCATAAGATGGACAACAAGAGTGGATACCGTAGAGTACTACGAGCATGTGGGATGCTAATACCTTCCCCTCACGTAACAGAATCCCTACCCGATCTCTCAGTCGCAAGACCGTGACTTCTCCCTTCTCAAGTTTTCTCGATGTTTACCTTTCCCGTCATGTGGGATAAAAGACGTTCGATGGCGACTTTATTGTTTGATGATTTTCATTCGGTTGTTTCACTTGGGTCTTTCTCAATACCGATGAAGGGTATTTGATCAAGAATAGGTATTCCCAATAGTTGAGATAACTCTTCCATTGTAGGTATCAATTGGTAATCAGGAAATGTGAAACAATGATGTTTAGGACCAAAGAATTTAAAAAGCACATGTACCATGTCTTCTTTAAAGTTTGAGGTAACCAAGTTGAGGAGTCGACCATACTTCTTGGTGAACAAAGAATTTTCAGGGACCCTTGATGCTAACTCTTTGAGTTGAGGAGGCACTTTCACAAGGTTGATTCAGATGTTATTTATGCGAATAGAAGCCATATCCTATAAAATAGAACAAAGATAAATCTATAGGTCCTTGAAATGGTTAGTGAAAATGCTATGGTATGATGGTACGGTGTTATGTGCAAATAAACATATATAAGCAAAACAAACAAGTCCTTAGGTTTAGGCTTGCATGGAGTTCATACGTAAGTACCCTCTTGAAGTTTAGTTGGTTTAACCTGTCCTAGAAAGTAATGGGGTTCTAGGGAATCTCAATATCATTGATCTTTCTTCATCGGAAATTGTTTCAGCGCAAGCCTCTGTTTTGGAGACCGAAATATCCCAAAAGTCCAATCTCAATGAGCGTAGTGTCGAGTATCAACCAACTTCGGACTGCACCAAAGGCAGCTATCTAACTACTTCCTAATGGCCAAGTTGTTCAACTAAAGGTTTTATGGTCAGTCAGTGCTTCATGACACCACACATCAGCCCTGTATTCTCCTTGATTCGCCACAAGGGATATCGATACTCACAAATGTGTCACACTAACGTAGCTATTGTTTCAACCATATCGGTCTACACCATACAGTTTCCATAATCTTTACTACTTACCTAATGATGTTCCCAGATCCGGGTAAAGGATCTATTCAAAATCCAAAACACCCTTTTAAGAGTAAAGCAAGAAAGTCAAACAATGAAAGCATTTAAAGGTGATCTAGTCTCTAAGGTAACCCCACTTTTAAGTTTATATTCCCCAACAGAGTCGCCATTTCTGTGATACCGTGGGAGAACTGACTTGGGTGTTTTGCATTTTATCGTAATTGTTGCGGATAGTAAGAGTCGCCGCCGACTTTTCTTTTATCCAATAAAGGAAAGGGTGAAAAGAATAAGAAAGACCTTTTGAGATTTTTCTTGAGTTCAGGGGATAGGTTATGAAAAGGGAAGGTGTTAGCACCCTTTTCATCCGTAGTTATCTATGGGCTCTTAGTTCCTAGCTCACTTTGAAACTGCTTTGTGAAATGTGTTTGTGTTTGCTTGAAAGTATTTTTGAAAAGTTCCTTTGTTTAGGTAAACTTTGTAATGATTCTCGTCTCTATAAAAATGTATACAAAGTGTTGACTCTTGAAAATATTTCATGAAAGTGTTGTTGGTTTTGAAAATAGTTCAATGAAATGTTTGTTTTTGGAAGGATGTTTTGAAAGTGTGAGTGTGGAAATGATTTTGTTTGTGAGAAAGCAATTACGAGCATTATACCTACTCAAAAAGTATTAGTTCTTTTCCTCCTCCTTTAGAACTTGCTATCTTACCAATGATTGGTAAGAAGCCCTATCATTGGATGTGAAGGGACAGGCGTGGGTCATTGTACAATCATATAAGGCAACATTGTGAGATGCCTTAGCAATTTGTCATAAGGGTTTAAGATCGTTTATTGAGGGTAACATCGAAGGATCATCGAGGGACTACGATCTTGTAATCGAGGATCTTTGCTAAAGTATCCCACGTTCGAGGGACATGACTGCTTTATTCTAAGGCAACAAGTGAGGGTTAACCCTAGAGGTACAAGTGTGCGAAGTGTGTTATTTTAATTTATTTGTCTTGAATTAGGTTTGTCTATTGTTTGGTTTTAAGGCTTGCCATACAAACCCTAATTACTAGCAATAATATTGAAAGCGATAAATTGCGGAAATTAAAAATCCTACGCTATTACACCATTTTAGGGGATGGGGATACAAATTACAAATGGGGATGAAAGCAATTAAAACCTAATTATTATTACAACCATATTGAATAATGCAAAAACAAAATAAAATATACAAGAATATAAAGATAATGTAAAAGAAGGGAGAATTGTTTTTTATGGTTTTGGATGGAAAATGTTTTAACCTAATTAGTTATACTAAATTAAATGGAGAGGAGTTAATTAATTAAATTCCTAAATTCTAAGTTAATTTAATTAAAAAGAGAAAATTAAACTTAAACCTAAGTCTAAATCTATTTTGATTAAATTAAGAAAAGAAAATATTTTTGTTTTGGGGTTTTATGTTTGAAAGAAATTAAAGTAAAATGGAAATAAAATAATAATTTTAGTCTAAGTATTTAATAAAATATTTTTTTTGTATTTTTTAATTAGAAATAATAAAAATAATAATATTAAAAGGAAATAAAAGAAAATAAAAATAAAAATTGAAAGTCAGGAGAGTTAGAAAAGGAATGTTGGAGGTTAGAGAGTAAAAAAAATAGATTTTGTTAGGTTTAGGCCCAAACTGATTTTTTTGTATGATAAAAAATAACAAAAATAAAAATGTTATGTTGGGCTGCGTATTGTTTAGCAATCAGGAGGGGAAGGAAAGTAAAAATGAATGGCCCAGTGGAGGGAGGCCCAGGCACACCTGTTCAAACAAAAAAAGAAACAAATGAAATATGAAAATGTAAAAGGTCTCGCTGGGGCTCGAACCCAGGACCTTATAGAGGTATGCCTTACGCGCGCGTTTGCTGCCACTAGGGTGGCATGTACATCCAGTATAGAAACAAGTTACAATAAATATAAGATAAAGCAAGTCCATGACTGTATTTCATCTTCTTCCTCGTGCCAGCCATAACTCTGTGACTTTCTCAACTCTCAACCATTCTCAAAAGTATGAACATCAAACTTGTTAGAAATTTCACCATGATTTCGAATATGTAAATAACTTAAGCAATGGATCAAAGAGG